TTTGTTTGGGATTTTCAAAATAACAGAGAAAGCAACTGATGCTGTTATAGACAGTATCTCTTGTCCTGGATGCAGCAGTTGCCAATTGATGTATTCCTGTCCTGATGTGCAGCATACAAAACTTTGCACAAAGATGTGAGGTTAGAAGAGATTCTCCAAAACACGTGATTGCCTGGTCCATCGTAAGGTGGTTCACTGGGCTGATGATTCATTTCCACATATCTGGAAATAATAAATGAAGTATGCTGTGAGATCCCTAGGAGATAACGATTAGTGACATCTCCCTAAAATATGTTACAACCTTTGTACGGAAGGCTACCTACATTCCCTCACAATTCAGAAGTTCAGAGCCGGAATGTGACTATTAGCATCTTTCCTGATGAAAAGGTTACGTCTTGATTTTAATATTTTGTCTAACAGATCTCATCTCCAAAAAACCACTAAGGACCAGGCAATTTTAGAATTGCTGTTTGAATGCAGTGTTTATTGCTTTCATGGACCCTGAGGAAAAATTAAGAATGAGTTCTGTGTCTTCCAGTCAGAAGAATTCTTTTCCTTGTCCTCAAAGTTTATATAATCTAAATAAAAACTTACATTTGATCTGTCCTGGAAGCAGTTTAATTCAGGAAATGAGTACAATGAACTGGAGGGAACTGCTGCATTGACTGGCACATCCAATTTTGTCTTATCTGCAGGTTACCTGGCATGGCCCTAGTAATGCATCTGTGGATCTTACTACTCAAAAGATATTTTCAAATGCAATTTTTTTTCCATTTTTTTTTTTTTAAATAAGATGGACAGTAGTTGTAGGATAACTAAGTAAATTCTGTAAATGGCTTACAAAAGGTAACTTTAGAGTACAAAACGAGTATCATATTGATCAAGCGGGAATAAAAATTATTTGATCACTTTCTAGTTACTGTTATTGTATTTCTAGTTATTTCTGATAAGTATTTATTTTACTTACAGTTGAGAATCGAGTTCGTCCGTTAGTACTGGTTGTTAAGAAGTGGGCGAGTTTTCATGACATAAATGATGCCAGTCGTGGTACTCTAAGCAGCTATAGTCTTGTGTTGATGGTTTTGCACTATTTACAGAGTAAGTATTTTTTGCCTTTTGAAACTGTTCTTTTAAAGTTTTTTTTTTTTTTTAAGTTGGTATTTGTGTAGGTTTCCCCTTTTAAAATTAAACACTAGCAGGAATCCTTTTCCACACAAAAAAATCTGAAAACGAAGTGTTTTTACTCCCTTTCCTTAGTGCTTCATTTTTATCTAACAAGCGGACCTCTTGTCTGGAATCAGTTATCAGCTTGAAAAAAAAAAAAATCAATGTACCTGCAGGATGTTGTGTAACTATAAAATAAACTCAAGCTCTCATTAACAAAAACCTGTCCTTTGTTAGCTATCCACTGTACGTCCGCTGTACATATTGCTTTGTGGTAGCAAATTATTTAGTAGTTCCAAGGGAAACAGCTAAACATCACAATTTCAAGTTTCTTGCACTTGGGAACTTTCAAGAAAATTCAAAGGGACAACAAATGCTGTGGGGTGATTTTTTTGATTGTTGATGACTGAACGTGAGGGCATACATATGCCAGAATGTACACATGGTTAGGAAATTTTCTCATTACTGTCCTTTATTAAGTGACTGGTGTCCCATTAGAAATTGGGATATTTGACTGCCAGTAGCAGCATCTTTTTTTTTTTTTGCGACTTTAACATATTGAAACATTAAACTTCTATCTGGAGCTGGGAAGCCTTACCTGCGGAGTTAAGGATCCCTGTTGAGAATTCAAGGAAGCTATGCAGTTCAGAAATGTTCTTGTAGAATAGATTGAAATGAGCTCATCCCCCTATTAGTGTCTATTATTAGAGAAATCCATGTTTGTAGTTTTGTAAGTTGTGATCCTTGCTTAAGACTTAAGGAATTGCATAAGAAACCATTTAGCTCAGTATGAGCTTCTTATTTATTGGGAGATAGGTGATTTCAGAAGGATAGGCAAGGAGCCCCTGAGGTGTAGGTCTTGTGGAGTAACATGCCTGCAGAAGTAATTTCTTAATTCCTGTCAGTTTATATATGAACTTTGTATTTTGCTGCTTATATTCATTCATCTTTTGTTTTAATTTTTTTGTAACCTGCTGATTGTTCTTGTTCATTGTATTTATTTTAATAACAATGTATCCTTAATATTTTATGATCACATCTGTAGATAAAACTGTGTACATGTTCATTTTAGATTTTTCCCTTTGTCAACCTGTGTAGTGGGGTTTTTTTGTTTGTTTTTATTAATCAGATAAAAAGAGATAATGATTGTTTAGTTCCTTTGACAGCTTGTTTGGCCAGGAATATAGATACCCACTGTAGGGTGGGTAGCCAATTATTTAGTAGTTCCAAGATCATGCTACACCCACTCTGTACGAGGGCTGAAAGCTTTTTATGACAGTTGCCTGAAGCTGGTAGTTTTCTTTCAACTGAGGAGTATCTTTAGTAGAGGATCTAGGAAGGCATTTTGTGTGCTTGAGATCCAGTTGGCTGGGTTGCTTTGAATTCTTTGATCCCTGTAGTGTGTGCAAATTATTAACATACCAATCATGAGGATAGTAGGTAGTAAGTTAGTCTATCCTGTGCTTATGTTCTTTTCTCTACATTTGCTGCGGTGGTGTTCCATAGACTTGATTCTGTGAAAAGAAAAAAAAAAAAAAAAAAGTTGCAACGTCTGTTGCCACAGCTCTGACACAATATTGTAGGTGATGGATTTTTAATGTAGACTCTTAACAACAATAAAAAAAAGAATTGTTGATTAGAAGAGATGAATGACAATCAACTTAAAAATAAAATGGCTAAACTGATTATTAGATACAAGAGTGAAACTGGTGAGAGCTACTGGGTGCAAAGATCGCTATGCAAAGGTGAAGCACATGCAAGAGATGAGGAGGAGTATCCTTACGCTGTCTAGCAGTTAGTGACCATCTTAACTGTGACTTGATAAGCATTTGATACTGTTAGTCTTAGCCTTTTAGTGGAAGCAGGTCTTTTCACTTGGAAATTTATTCCCAAAGTGTATTTTCAGAGTATTGCAGTAACTCTAAAGAGTGATTGGGAGAGTGGAATTTCTTGTATTAGGTGCTGTATGCAGTCATGAATAGCCAATTACTGAGCTGTGCATAAAAGTAATGCACAAAAGGGAAGACAGTGGGAGTTGCAAGCAAATATAAATGTGTAGGCTTGCAATGATGTTAATAGCTCTGCAAGCATGAGGGCATTTGCTGCTGTCATCTGTGGCAGCTGCCACAGCTGTCTGGGGAAGAAAAAAAATCTGAATAATATTTTTCATGCAGAACTGTGATCAGTTCAGCTGCCTATTATCAACAGTCTGCAAGCCAGAGGTAGAGAGTTCTTAACCTGTTCTCCATGAGCCCTTTCTGCTAAAAAGGCTGGAGAAATAAGGCTCTGGACATGTATCTGGTGCCAGCTGTTTGAATTCTGATGTTTTATTCCTGCAAGTTTTAACTTCTTTCTCATTTCTACTACATGTATATGATACTTCTGTGTCCTGATCATAGAATTTGCTAGTAGGACTTTTGTTGATGGCACTAGGAAGGAAAATGGCCAGCTTTCTTTCAGCAGGAAGTATGGTCTCTTCATTAGGCAAATTTCTTTTCTGAACTACTTAATCTGTTTCTGTTTTCTTATCATACTACTGTGGAAGTCTTTTGACCTAAGGTTAGTGTGGCTTGAGTTTATTTTGTAGGTGCATCAATGTTCTGTGCATGAACTTTCCTCCAGGTAACAGGTCCAATTGTCTTGTACAGTAGGAAAAGAAAAACTCAGGTGGCAAACACTAGTGGTACCACACTTAGTGGTAAGTGGTAACTTTTTCCCCTTAACCCCTGTTGTCTTAATGCATCATGCAGACCCAGAAATTAACATGAAATATCTTGATTACTCATACTGCTCAGATTTTGTTGCCTGTTCTTTCAGTATAGCAGAGAATGGGAAAATATCCAAGATATTGTAGAAATAAGATACCCTTTCATATTTCAAAACGCTCACAAACAAAATAGAGTGATTATTAAAACAGCTGTCATCATATTCTTAGCAGTCCTGCTAGTTAATATAGTATACTCTTTGAAAATATCCTAAGCATGTTCTGAGAATTCTGCTATTCCAATTTTTTTCCTCCGTATAGAAAAACATCTCTTCACCTGTGAGACGTTGTTTCAAGGGTGAATTAAATCCCAAGTCAAAGTCCTGTGTGTTGAACATAATTATGATTTTCCCTAGTGAATGATATGGACCAATTTTGTTTAAAAAACATGCTGATGAAGTGATATTGAAACTTTGCTACCAGGGTTGTGCAGTTGCTATAAGGCTTGAATGGGATATGAATGTTTTTGGGATTTTTTTTTTTTCTTTCTCTCTGTGTATCTATAGCACTATCTCACCTGGGAGATAATTCTTTATCTTGTTATTTTTAGTATGCAATATGTTTTACCTGTCCGTGACTTTAATACTAGATGAATTATCTAGTTTCTTCTGTATTTATTAGTATCACTAGTGTCTGTATGATCTTTGTCCTGCTTGCTGTTTAGAAGACCAGCTAACAGCATCTGACTATATTTGTTTTTTGTGGGAATTTCACTCGCCATGACTGATAAGTATGTTGGGCATTTTTTTGCTGTAGTCCAAGTTATTTTTGGAGACTTAACATTTAAAAAAACAAAAAACAAAAAACCCCCAAACTTTGTAGCTGAAGAAGTATACTTATCCAGCATCTGGAGATTTCCCATGCTGTGATATAATCAGACTATATTAGATGATTTTAAAAAAGAGAAAGAGAGAGAGAGAGAGAAAGTGTGAAGGTATGATTGACTGCCCTTTAAGGAGTCTAGGTGAGTTTCCTGTGGCCATGAATTAACATGAATTTTAAAAGGCAAGTGGTACCCAGCTGCTGTAGAACTTTTCTTGTCTTCTACGAATAGCAATATCTTAGTAATAGCTTCCCTTAACTGAATTAACTTCTTATTCTACTATAGATAAAATGTAGTAATAGAAGGGTTTGTGGAATAACTTTTATTTTACAACATGCATGAAAGTGAAGTTCTGAGTAGATGTTTCTAATGTGGAATTTCAGTCCAATCCTTTGGTGTAGTTGATGTGATATTGTTTCCTGTGAATTACATGAATCACAGCAACTTTAAACTTTTTTTTTATAGCCCTACCTGAACCCATCCTTCCATCCCTCCAAAAAAATTACCCAGTAAGTGTTTCTTATGAATTATTACTATGTCATATATGTGAATGAAGCTTATCTAAAATATATGAATTCTTAAGTATCTATAATAGGTTGTTAAGCATAGTTTGTAAACATAGATATTGATAAACTTAGTGTGGAGTGTGAAAATGGTTGGTTGCTGCTCTTGATCATTTCTTTAGTGAAAACATTTTTATATGTGAGAAAACTTTACACGCACTTGGAAACTAGTGCTGTTCACCAAATTCTCTCTATGCTAGGCTGCAAATGCTCCAGTGTCTTCTGTAACTTTCTGACTGTTTTTTTCTTAGTACATGAACTACTGTTGTTTCCGTCTGATTGTGCTATTTCAGGATTTCATAACTTCCAACAGCTGTTGAGTTGCTTATGTCTTCCATCTGATACGTCTTGGTTCAGAGGGTGAATGGTATATGTTTACTAAGGAGGCTCTTGGAACCTCACAAAATTGGGCTTCAGTTCACACATTTAAAATCCCTTTTTAGGACTTTGCTGTTAGATCCAGATTATACTCTGTTGATTTCCAGAGGACTATGTGGGTCTGTACGCTTTGATCCTCAGCAGAACGAAGGCTGTAATTAGTGATCCTTAATCTAAGGAAGATTACCTAGAAATAACAGCTACCCTCTTAAATACTTGTCTGGGACAAAGGAGCTATTGCTGAATAGCTCTAAGTAATAATTTGCTAAGAGGCGTTCCGTGTTCTTTCTTCCTCACCTTTCTTCTCAGTATCACTTTACATTTTTCTTATTCGTAATTGCTATACTTTGATCTGTCTGTCTATATGTGTGTTTTAATACTGCTGGTAATTGTTCTGAGTTAGTCTCAAAGCCGTTCGTTCTTCTTGCATATACTTCCTATTATGCTGAAATGGGAAGATCTGATAACACTATATCAGGGAGAAATACTGTGCTGTCAGCCATCTTGGATAATTAAGATAACTAAGATGCAAAAGAAGGCTTTGAACTACAGTAAATTGAAGTTTTATCCCTATTTTGTAATCCTGTTTATGTATACCTTTGTTAAATTTTATGGTCTTTCTTATTTTGATTTTTATTGTACTATGCACCTTCTAATCTTTTCATTGTTAATGCTAAAAAGCATATGAAGCTGTTTTTGATTTCTTGCATACATAACTCAATCTGTATTTTTTTATTACTTGCTAATTATACTTCCCTAAAGCTCATGCTGTAGTATTTTAAGTTTTGTGTGACATGTGATTTAAAGAAAACAACTCTAAGAATCAGTAGCTTCTGATTTCTTTGTAGTAATTACTGAAACATTTATGTTTGTAGTGTTTGAACTGTGTAAATGCTTTTAGAGTACTTCACAAATACTAATGGTTTAAATGATTAAAGCAAAAGTATTCCATAAACGGAAAAAAATGTGGATGTATACAAAATGCAAGGGTTCTTATTGTACCCTGTGAAAATGGTAAAACTTGCAGGTTCCTGTGTGCTTTCTAGGACACTGCAATAGGAATAACACTTTATTTTGTTTTAACATAATTTGTGTTAGTTATCTTGTGTTTGGGAGGACAGACTAAATATTCTAAGATTACTAATAAAATAAAAATATTCTGTATACTCTATACCTGTTCACTATAAAACCAAATCAAAGCTGTGGATTAAAATACTTAAATTATGCTAGAAACTTACAAATATATTTTTGGTCTACTGTTTCTATTAAGAATATAATTAAGTGTCCCAATAAATGCTGTGAAAGTTATAATTTCTGAATACTGATACTGCAAATAAATTCAAAATTAAAAAAAGAAATACACTAGAACAATTCTGGTTTTACTTCTAGCTTACAGTAATAATTACAAAGCATGGGAAAATGTCAGTGTCCTAAGAAACGATATATCTTACTTGTGGTGGTAGCTGGTCAAAGCAGTGTCCCTGTTCTAATACTACATATAAATACTATGTCTCCCCTTCTGAGACAAAACAGCTCTATTTGCAATCAGCTTTTTTCAAAATCAAATTTGCAGCTCTAACTGCAGCTTGAAAAGACTTCTACACTTTGAAAAACTGCCTGTTTTAAATTGCAGGTGCAATGTAGAACAGACATACGTGCCTTGAATAAGAAACAAAAGGCAGATTCTCTGATTCAGTATATACCTTTCATAGATCTGTGAGAGTGAGAAGTCCTGGAAGGCTCCCAGGTCTGCCCACCCGTGGACCGTGTTGCCACAGGGAGTCTTCGGCTGGCACAGAGCTGACATCTTGCAGCTGTGAGTTTAGCAGGAACGCTGGGGTGCAGGAGAGGTGGGAGCCCCACTCTAGGGCTTTCAGGCTGGCAGGCAGCCCCTTCTTCTCCAGCCTGACCACATAGACTGGAGTAGCCCACAAGATGCTTTGATCGGTCCCAAACTTACAGAGAACTTACCTCTGAATTAGGACTGTGACAGATGAGCCCAGGGGAATCTGTAGTGGCTTAAGGCACTGCTACTTCTGGTTGTTTTGCCTGTACCTTTGCCAGAAATAAATGTTGCTGTAACTGTATGTCAGAAGGGAACATATGGCTGAGTCTCTCATGTTCCAGGTTACAGTCTGGCATATGAGTTAAATCCAGATGGAAGTGGGTTTCCACTAGTACTCTGGATTGGGAACTTCAGTGACTCTAGCCTGAGCATGCTTTTGTTTCTGCTGCCTCAGTTTCACAAGCAGTGGTGTTTTGCAAAGGGATGTGCGGGAGAAGGGATGATGCTTAAGCTTCTGTAGTTACTTCAAACATCAGGAGTCAGTCCTTGGACAGGTGCAATTTGCTCTCCACTTAGAATTGCACTTTTTTGGATAAATACTAGTGAAATGTTAATTTGTAAGATTGGAGAAAGGTAATTTTTGTAAATATATATGCATGTGTGTATGTGAATACAGGCACCTATCAAAAAGACAAGATACTGTTCTGAGGTTAGCATTATAAACTTTTTTTGAAGGAAGAACCTTGTACAGTCAGAATTAAGCTTATATTACATTTGAGTATCTTGATGTATAGATTTTTTGGATGTACGCTTGTATTCCTTTCCAGTGTGCAAGGTGGAAGGAGAATATGTGTCAGCATTATTGTGTCTTGAATATGATGCATGTTGCTGAATGCTATTGTTTCCTTGAGAAACCAGCCAACCAAACTAAGGAGAGGTCTGGCAAAAAAAGGCTTTGGAGTCTTTTTTTCTAGAATATTTTGAAATAATGCATAGCTTATTGATTTTGTTTCTCAATCAGGTTCTGAGGGTTTTTTTCCCCCCATTTCTTAAGATATAAGGCAAAAGTACAGCAAGCAAATGAGGGACTAATTCTAAAAGAAATTGGATTTGTTACCTTCTAGAGCAAGTTAAAAAGGGAAAACTTGCAGGGAAAGCCTTCTTGAAACTGAGCTAATTTTAAGGATGCTTTGTAATTCTCTCTTATTACCAGCCTCCCTTAGGTGTATTATCTGTAATTTGTACCTTGCTCCATTTATTTAGTTATTCCTTGAGTCCATCTAGCAGGAAGAAAAGAACTGTTATCCCTGTTTTACAATAGGTGAATGAAGGCGGGGAGAGACTAATGAGGTTTCATGGGTTGTCTGTGGCAAAGCACAAAGATGAGCCTAGACTTCCTGTGGCCAATCTGATATCTTATTCACTGGATGCTGAGTGACTGAACTGTTAAGAAATGACCTTAAACAGACTGCATTGTACGTTATTGATATATCTTGACAGAAGTTTTCATTAAATCTTCTCCATACCCTTTCTCAAGTTAAAGCAGTAATTAATTTGGTGTTAGGTGTAAAATTTCTAATCTGATAATAGCAATTTCCTCCATAGCTGATTTGCTGTATATCAGAAGGACAAAACATTTTTTTTCTTTCTTTTTCTTCTCTACAAGTGGTGATCAGCAACCCTCAATGTTTGTTTTTCTTTATTAAAAAAAAAAAAAACTATTTCAGAAAATGTAGGAATTGCATCTCTTCCACCAAGAGTGCGTATCTTTGGAATGTGGTCTGTTTCCTGCTCCTCAAATGAGTTCTTCACATTTGCTGCACTGGTGCTTACATGACTTTCGATCAGCTGTAAATTCAATGAAGAGACAGGCAAACCGAATATTCTGAAAAATACCTTCATTTGGACTATACTTCTATCATAATCACCCTTTTCAAAATACAGTTTTCTAATTATAAAACTGCAAGTTTTCCTAACTTCATATTATATTAACTGTCAACAAATCTTATACATAAAATATCTTTGGATAAAACGGTCCTTCATATCCTTTTGTTCTTTTCCTTTTTCTGGATTTAAGCATGTATGCGCACAGGCATGCAGGTACTTTTCTTTTTTTGCCATAAGTTTTATTACAATAATACTGAATATATTATCTTTTGCTATTGTTATGGCAGTTACTAGTTCATTGCTTACTTCATTCAAATTCACATTAATACAACATTAATACAAATGAACTAATCTTGATTAATATATAAAAATATAAAGAAAGTGTAGACAATATCCTTGTTTCCTTGTTTGAGTCACACTTAACATCAAGATTGCTAAGAAAAAGCAACATCCTCTTTAAGTTAGTAATATTACTAAAGAAAATAGCTTATTTATTATTCTGCAAAAATAATAAACCATAGACCAGTTCTTCAGCTGCTCGATGTGCTAACCTTATTGCAGTGGCAGATTTTTCTTGCAGCTGAGAAATTTTCAGTAATTTGAATATATAAAGCATAAAGGAAAACTTGTTCTCCTTTTCAGAAATGTTTACTAACACTAGTAAGTAAATGTTTGGTGGCAGTAGACATCTGTCATGGTAATTTCGCTGCGTTTCTGTTTTTATTGTTAGAAGTCAGCAGCCCTTGTTCTCATTCCTCTTTCTCCCCATGTCCATTGCCCCATGTCCATGTCCATGCCCTGCTGTTACACTGCTAATACTAAGCCCATTTGTTAGGACTCTTCTGCAGCTTTCTGTGGGCATGGGGGCAAGGAGTGACTTTCACTCCAATAGGTATCTGATTTACTTTAGGTTTAAAATTGTATATACTGTACAATCTATAGAAAGCTTCTGTTCCCCTTTTAGATCTTTAAATGTAAGCTGTGTATCTGCTTTTTATGTCCACCTCTGCTTCTGGTGTGTTCTGCTGGATTGTGAGGTGTTAAATTCTGAGCTCTGGTAACTATCGTAATGTCTCATACACAACATTATGTGATGTGAGAACAAAAGCCCAAAGTTTTTACAGCTGGAAACATGGCCTTTTTTGCTAGAATTGGCAAAAGAGGACAAGAGTCCCAAACTTTCAAATCCTACTAGGTTGATCACTAACCACCTTTGTCTTGGAGGAAGCATTGCCTGCTGTGAACATGGAAATAGTATTAGTGTGTAGTGTTTTCAGTAATGTACTGTAAAGTTAGAGAGTCACTGATACTACTCCTTAAAATAACAAAGTGAGGGAGGGGGCGATGCGCTAATATGACTGAATAGGTTCCTACACTTTTTTGTATCTGGGGTTTATTTTCTTTAAAATACACAGGACATTGCTGTAAAATATAGCATCCTAGTATTATCAACTTTTCAAAACTGTTTCTCTAGCTAGTAGCAGAAGATATATTCTCTTCCTTGTGCCTCCAGTCTGTCAGAGAAACCTAAGTGGACATTTAAGCAGTTAGCAAATTTAAAGCAACGTTAGCTTAGTCTTGAAAAGGAAACTTTCTGCACTGGTAATGGTGACTTTCCTTTTTAGCAAAGCTGCAATATTTCTGGAAGAAAAGCATACTTGAGCTTAAATGGTGGGATCTGTATATTCAGGTCTGTTGTAAAACTCTTCATTCTTTCAGATAGCTTGCACAGAGGAGGTGCTACCACAGTCTGAACTCATTATGTGGAAAGATGCAAGTTCATATTAGAGCTAATGGGGTTGAAATGCAAGTTGAACTCTATCCTATGGGAAATAAGTAAGGCCTTCCTTTTGGAGTGAGTGTTTCTGTACTGTAGTTACAGAAACTTAGAGACAACTACATTAGCTTCACGGACCCTGTCTCAGCTCAGCTGCAGCCACCTCAGTGCAGTCTACCTTCCTCTGCTTTTGTTCATGTGGTTTTACTAGTATGTAAACACCAGTTCAGAGATTCTTCTATGTTAAAATTCTTAAGCAAACAGAAGGTAAGGGATGGTCTCCTGGGCAAGGTGATTCTACTTGAGCTCAGTGGGAGTAACTAGCATCCAGCACAGCACTTGTTAATTTGTACTTGAACTTCTAATAAGCAAGTGATGGGCAGCCTTTTATTGTTACAAATAAAAATACATGCCAAGATTAAGGCTGTATGTGTGTGTATGTATATACTCTCTGATTTTATTTTGACAGGACTCTTTTGATCCTACTATGCAGTTGCACCTTGTTCATCAAGCCCCGTGTACCATTCCTCCTTACCTCTCAAAAAATGGATCAAGTCTTGGAGATTTGCTAATAGGCTTCTTCAAATATTATGCCACAGAATTTGAGTAAGTATTAAACTCATCTTAGCATTTTAAAATATGTAAAATTTTGCTTTCTTCTGTGTGATGCATCAACATTTTAATTCCCTTGAAGAGGAAAGAACAGCAGCATTGCAGAAGTGATAACTGACAAAGAAAGGAAACAAGTGAAAGGATTTGAGGACAGTGGGAATGCTGATATAAAGTGTTCTCTAAAGTTCTTTGATTAGCCAAGGTGCTTTATTCTGCAAAATAGCTGCCAAAAGTCAGATAGCTCTGTCCTTCTGAAATAGCTTTTTTTTTTTTTTTTTATATTACACTGTTTTAAAACTGCATATCCCTGTGCAAGAAAGATCTGCTCTTAGTTTTAGTTTAAGGTATTGCTTATGTTCTGGAATTACTTGAACCCTAATAGCCGCACGTGTGTTCCATCACCCCAAGTCAGTGGAGATAATTGATCAGATGACTACTTACTTTAACCGTACTAGACGTGAACATAGACCATTTTTAGTGAGGAATTCTCCCGTGTCTAGGTGGATCACTAACCTTGTTGGTTTACTAGAATTTGAGTTTAATTTTGGCATCTGGGCTTTCTTGTGAAAGAGGAATGGAAGACAGAGCAAGTTGTGAGGGAATCTGAGGAAAACCATAGATTATGAACGTTTTACCAAATTGTCAGTTGAGAATCTCTTAAAAAGATTGCTTGTGCATATACAGCGTTAGATGGTTGTATTTAAATAAGCTTAAAGGTTGCCTTAAAGACCTTGCTGTTGAGGCCATTGATTCATACATGTCACTGTCCATTTTGTGTATGTTCACCATAACTGTTCCCTGGAAGGAGAACAAAATGCATGACTGCTAATAATATTTATTATCATTTTTTGTAGTGTTCATATTTTACTTCAGTGTAAGGAATGAATGATCGTGAAATCCTTGAAAGCAAACGTCACTGGGGTGTGCACTGCATGTGGATTTTGTAGCTTAAATCCATATGGCCTGTGGCAATTCATGAGCTAACTGCACTTTGTGCATGCTTAAACCTGATCTTAAGAGAGATATTCGTATAAAGGGCTTTACTTTAACAAGTTCTACAGATAAGATCTTTTGTTCTTACAGTTTCGTTTGGGTTGTTGTCCAGGTGCTGTTTGCTAAACACACAAATTATACGATATTGCTATGCAGTCCTTAAATTAGGAATGTGAGGATGTCCTTTTATGTAGGATACTAGCTACATCCCTTGCTACCCATACATATAACGATCTGTTAATCTCTTCCTATCAGGAAGTGATCTATTTAGTAAATATTTTTCTGAGAGGGAGGAAGTTTCTGGTTTGCCTGGGCAAACTAGTCAGAAAGGTCTTGTCCAAATGCTGGAAAAATGTCCAGTTTGACTCTCCTGGTTCATGATGTGCTTGTCAACATATAGTCAGGAGCAGATTTCTGTGTAAATTGGGAGCTGGTCCCTGTATACTGTTACTTAATTTTTTTATTTTATTTATTTTTTGGCCTGCTGTTCATACTTCCTAGTATATCCTCAATGTCTAAGAATGACAACACTGCAGTATCATGACTTGAACTGATGGTAATCCCTGAATATTATTTTCAGCAATTATCATCATCTAAGGAAAAGATGTTACTTAAATTCCTCCTCAGAGCCATGGAGGAGCTTCTGGTTTAAAAAACAAAACAAACAAAAAAAAGGCTGAAAAGATTGAGGGGCTTAGTGTAAGTATAGAAGGAGAAGAAAAGAGAATCAAAAGGCCTTTAGAGCCTTTAAAGAAGACTGGAATGCAAATGAAGATTTGAGGGCATGGATACGAAAACCCACTAGAGGATAAATTTAGGTAACTAGAGAATGGCAGTAAGATAGTTGCTGAGGTCAAGAGAAGAAAATATTAAAAAAAAAAAAACCAAAAACAAACTGTGTACACTTTGCCAGTTTTTCCAACATGAACTACATGTTAAATATTTAAACTTTTGACTAGTGATATTATGCTACAAAAGCTGTAGAAAATACTATTAAAATTCCCGTATTGAGAATGCTATATAGCTGAGAAGTCATATAAGGAAATGACACACCTAATGCAGCAACCTATATTATTTTTAGCTAATTTTGCTATGGAGTAAAACTTAATGAGTTTTTCTTGGCCATCGCCATCTCTATATCCCTGATAACTTTAAACCCTCTTTGAAAGGAGCAGGGTGCAGGTCTCGAAGATACCAGAGTTCCTGAAAGTTTTAGGAAATTTGATAATTGGATGGAGGAGAGAAACCCAAATTAGTGCCCATGCTCAGGAGAAGACAGGCAGAACATGGTGTTTAAATATTTGCACTTGTCTGATAGCCAGCCACTGAGAACAAATATAGCTCCAAGCTATCTGTAGTGTACATTATCTTTGCTTTGAGGTTGCTGATGGAAACATGTTGTGGGGGATAGAATTATTATTAGAGGTGGGAATGAGAATGAAATACACGGGACACAGGGCTCTGTTCTGCTTTTTGTGGAACTAGTATTTTACTCCAGAAGATGTAAAATATTTTCATTGCTGTAATCAATAATTTTATCGTTCTTTGCTTTTCCTGTAAAACAGTTACTAGTGTCTTTTTTATGTGCAAAATTTTTGAGATTATATCCCAAATAACATTATTTTTGATAAAATTATTGATTACAGCAATGAAAATATTTCACATGTTCAGGAGTTAGGCCACATTTAAATGACCTGCACTGTGCCAGTGAACTTTCACTATTGAATTGCTATGTTTGATAAAAAGATTACTAAAGAAAATACTGCAATATTCATACAAGTGACTTTTGTAGATTCCTATCTATGAAGTACGACACAGCACTGCAAGGTTTGATATACAGGATGTGTTTTGCTGAAAGAACAGCATGCGGTCAAGAACGATCAGATAATGTCATCATTTGTGATCATCATTTTGGACAGAATGAGTCATTGAAGTTACCTGCCTGGAATGCTTAACGGATCACCTATTTGCATATATTGGCTGGGAGGATGGAGATATGTTGTTTTAAATTTCTCCCTCAGCCTAACAAAGGCCAGTAGGTATTTCAGTTAAAATCTGTATGTTATCTTACTTGATGTAAATGGCAGAAAACGAGTAGGGCACAAAGGAAGACACATGCTGTGCAGCCTTAAACAAGTTTATCTCCTTGTGTTTTCCCTTTTTGCTATTTTATCCGCTTCATTTATTTAGACTATAAGCTCTTTCAGAGGAGATTGCTGATTGCCATGTATTTACACAATGCCCCATCCCACAGTCCTGCTCTGGGTTTTTTGCTATCTGTATAGAAAGCAGCTTTTCTCCCCTTCATAAGTTATCACCAATGTTATTTGGTAATTTGGATTTTTTGTTGGACTTAGACACCACATCTGGCAAAGCTTAAACAATTTGCCAGCATGGTTGTATAACTAGCCTGCCACAGAGTTCAAGTCTTGAAGTCTGCATAACGTTTCACATGATTCAGCAGGCTAAAAGTGTGCTTTTAGCACTGTTTTAGCTTTCAGTGTTTCACGTTATCAGAGCTCTGCTGATTATCCAGCAAATCTGAAAAAGTATAAAAATGTATGGAGGGATTCTCCAAAGAAAATGTTTGGAAGCTTGTCCCATGTTTACCAGGCCCCCTTAAGAGTGAGTGTCTGATTTCACTTGCGCAGCTGTGAGTGAAGGCAGCAGGTTTTCGCTTGGCTGGCTTTTTACAAAGTGAGACCTTGAAGCAAGGCCTTGCTTCTCTGTCCTGAAGATATGGCTAGGGAACTAGAGATTACCATTTGGGCATTTGGGACCCTACTTCTTTGATATTTATTGTTTTTAAGTTATGTAACAGTTGTTTAAGAGCATTCACTAATGAAGATATATTTGTTTGGATGTGATAGAAAGTCAGTTACATTATCTTGACAAAATATATAGTTGCTCTTAGCTCTCTTCAGGGCAGAATTGGTCAGGTAGTAAAGCGATCATCTTTTTTTAATAGAAATACTAAGTGTATTTGCAATTTTTACCTAGTTTAATGAGGGTATTTATGCGAGTAATTTGAGGTCATAAGAATGCTCAAGAAAACAATACTGCTTGTTTTAACCAAACACAGATCAAATACTCTGCATAACTTTTTACTGGCCTGGGTCTCTCCGATTTCTTAAATTAGGCTTTTAGGCAAAGCAGACGATGTGGACAGTCAGCTGCTTCTGCTCATGATCAATGTTCTGGAGCAGCAGCTCAAGTTTCTTCAATGCTCGAGCCACTTGATTTTGTTTGTTTCTTTTAAGCAATTCATCTTAATTTCTTGTTAACTTGCCTTGATGATAGGTTATTAAAAAGACATGATGGCTTGATGTGCAGCAAAGTATTTGGTACTTCACAGTATTTCTAATTCTCGCAAATGTGGTTTACTTTGGGAATTAAGAGGGAGAGTGATAGATTAGAATGAAAGCTTGCTTTGCTTTGAATCTTTGAATGCTAGAAATGATCATCAATGTCTGTACTATTTTTTATCAAGAGAAATCTAAATATACACAGATGCGTATGAATAAGTGATCTGAGGTATCCTAAAGTATGCTTTATGTGCTGTGTCCTGCAACCTTTTGAAATATCCAAAAAAAAAAAAAAAAACCAACCCAACCTTATTCGTATTCTTAAATAGTAGAAGAATAATGCATATGTTCTGCTATGGAAGTACAGTTATTCAAACAGCTGACTTTCATAAGTGGCTTTAATCATGAGTTGTTTCCAAACTAATTTGTAGAATCTGTGGGGGCAGATTATTAGCTGGTGTAAACTCTTATCACCATTGACTTAATGGAGTTATGACAGCTGAGCTATGACCTAAGAAGCACAGAATTCTTCCAAATTTATCTGATTGATTTACAGATTGTATTTTGATTTACAGTTGATATTTCCATAGCTGCAGAATGTCAATTATACTCAGCCAGGTTCCTCTCTCTTTGCATTATGGCAAAAGATTCATACTGTCCATACTTTTACGTCCAGTCAGTGGTACATTTAAAAAAAAAAAAAAAAATACACAGTGCTGCTAGCAGCACACTACCCACCTATTTCTAATCATCATCTAGTGGCAGAGGATGGGAGGGGGTGACCCACTTCACATTCATGCCCTTTTGCTGATATGGTAATTTCCTGGTTTAGTTAAGAGCAGCTGGGAACTGGCTGTGCAGGATTGGTTAAGAGCATAAAATTGCAAATATTTTGATTTGGTTTCCATTACTTTTGACATATAGTTGTGCCAAGCACATGTATCATAAAGATTTCCCTCTAAACTGTACTGCTGTTTCCTCTTTGGTAAGATCACTTCGTATGTTTTTGCTATTATAAAATTGTACGCAGAAAGTAGGTTATCTTCAAATGTGTATTTGTTGCACTGACATTACAGCTGTAGAGGATCTAAATTGTAGCATATACAAAGTATAACAGTAAGCATGCTATCTTTATATTGACTCATCGAATACTTTGTAATGGAATTCAGTAAGTAACTTCATCTGCACTTAAATTTGTTATCTTCCTTTCTCCCCACAGAAAATTCTGAAAGATAGATTTACAAAGTTCTGATTTCTTTTGAATTTAGAAAAAAATGTAGGTTTACATTCTAAAGTTGACATTGTTTTTTGAAAAAATTATGCTGTCATGAATGTAGGCTACTCATGGAAACCTGTGGAAACTTTCTATTTTGAAGATATCTTCATAAATGTCTGTTTGTGGAAAAATGTTTCTCATTTCCTACCCATCATTCCTTACTCATATTGTGAAGATTAATTTGTTACACTCTGTTACAGATTATTATAAAGTACTGTGCTATTCAGGATTATGACATAGCAGTTTTACATCTTTTTAAAGTAAACTGATGCTACTCATTCAGAATCAAAAGTTTCTAAGGTCTGTAAACTGTTTTCCTTTTCCCTAGTTGGAGCCATCAAATGATTTCAGTTCGTGAGGCCAAAGCTATTCCAAGACCTGATGGTATTGAATGGAGAAACAAATTTATTTGTGTAGAAGGTAAAATGCAAAGCTGCATCATCATTTTTAACGGTTAAGACCCTAAACACCTGAATCTGTCACTTGGACTTTACCTCAATCACATTTTAATAGTGAACACATGACACTTTTGTAGAAAACTGGGTGTTACCAATGTGGATTGTTTTGCAGTTATGTAACAGAGTCTCTCTAAAAACATTTGAGAAGGAAGCTTTAAGTTCTATAGTGTTTAAAAATAGTGCTCCTGACCTTTTCTTGAAGAGGGCTCATTGCCCTGTTACTTTTGGAACAGGGATCAGGACTTTGAGAAGGAATGGCCTTTATGACAGTAATGTGTGTTTTGCTGTTCTATAAAAATAGTTTTCAGTTTTGCCAAGTTTAACAAGCTTCTGCAAAAAGACAGTGGGCACATATTTAGATTCCTCTCTAAGAATGTATCTTTGTTCTAATAATGCTCTGGTGTCTCAAGTTCTAGCAGTGACCAATTGTGCATATGTTGATCCCTTTGTGGGCACTATTTTTGACTGGCTTATGAATGTACAGTCTCCACAGTAACTATATGATGTTCCCCAGAACTAGAGGGGTAAACCTAGGCTTCCTTTTGGAGTTGCAGCTCTCGGGCATCTTAGCTGAGGTCAGAGGGGAGAATGAAAAGAAAAGCAGGAAGGGGACTGGGCGCTACAGTGTAAAACAGTTAACACAAGCAAGTAAGAAAGTGAGAGTAAGCAAGCAAGCGAGTGAGTAAGCAAGTGAGAATCAGAAGGCAGCAGGTGAAGGGAAATTGGTTGGACCATGGATGAGGAACCACGGTGGAGTGGGAGCAGAATTAGAACAGTGGCTTAGGACACAGAGGTGAAGAGGAAAGGTCTGAAAGGACGGAGGGAGCCTCAACCCTGGGTCTCAATGGGAGACTCGCTCAGGATCAGGAGATCAAGAGTAAAGTTTTAGGATAAATGAGGATTGGAACTTGAAGAGGAGCCAAATGGTATGGGAAGAATTGTTAGAAACTGGGCAAGTTGTGGGGGGAATAAGGCAGAAGCCCAGTGGTTAGACACAAACATTCCTCAGAGTTCTTGGGGGTGCATGTGTGTGTATGCACACAATTTCCTCCATTAGTGCTGCTCTTTGCAGAGAATAATTACCTACTGGTGAAGTCAGTTATTCTGTGGAGTAGAGCTATCCAACTTAGCTGTAATCATATGGATGAGAGTGCGAAGCCATATGGTAGAATTTCTGTTCTTTGTCTTCTGGAAAAAAATGACTACCAGTCATAGGGAAAAGTACACTGAAAGCTGTTAAAAAGATTGAGGTGGCAAAGTCAAGTGTGCAGAGTTAAGAAATGTGAGAAATAAAGAGTATCTGCACAGCCGAAGTGAATCGGGGTAGCGTAGTGCAGACATTGCCAAGGTACTGCCGTTCTGAATGTGGGAGGTGGCAATGTTCTGCAGCTGTGTCTGCTGCTCTCACATGGTGCTGGGCCGGGCTGGTGTAGGGGGCTGTTTTAGTCTCTCTCTCTCTCTGGACATTAGAAAGTGGCTGAATAATTAGGGCTTTCTTCCATTTGGTTGGAAAATAGAATCTCAGCACAGAAATTAGGCATTTAAAGATTTGTATTAAATCTGCTCGTTTACATATAACGTTTTCTTATGAGTGCTTTTTCCATTTGAACTATTGAAGAAGCAAATACCTATAGTTGGCACATCTGATTCTTTCCTGTTACCATGTGCTTCCAGACTTTATTAGCAGGTTTAATCCTTACATATCAAGTTTTTATTAATAAATATGAAGTGGAAAATTAGATTTCCTATTTCAACTCAGAGCAGGTTCTATCTCTATAACAGCTGCGAAGATGAACTAGTTTAACAGAAAGCATATAGATAAACTTCTCTGTCCTGTGAGGAAGAGAAGCTTTTAAAAGCTAGCTAAACATATTGACATATTCTAGTTTTCAAGTTTTTATCAGATTTTTAGTGGACTAAAATTTCAGTAATTGTTTTTACTTATTGCATGTTATTAAAAAAATATATTTTTAAAATATATGGTAGTAGATCATAGAAATCTGCCTGCAAGTTGCCATAATTCTACATGTAGCACTATATTTAAGCTTGTTGGGGAAAAAAAGTTGTATTCTGTTTTAATTTCTTGTAATGTGCCTTAATAATGATTCTCACTTGCATTTCTGCTGTTTGAGAAACAAATGTAGTATGGATGCTTTTTTCAGATACTTTAGGATATGGCAAGCTACTACCATTATGGGGATACCAAGGACGCTGCTTTTAGCAAACGTCTGGGAACATCTCTCGTCAGAAGCTCTAAACTGCTAGTGACTATTCTGGTTTTAGTCTAACTCTTATCTATTTCAAAAAATATCGTATGTTCTCCTTTTGGAAAAAAAAAAAGAGTTTAGAAAAGCTATAAACTTGGCAGTTCTGTAAGACAATTCATTGACAGTCATTTAGGGAAAACTGTCTGTGCTGTGCCTGATTGGTGCCTGTATGCATAAATCTTTCAGCTCCATGAGAATTTAATTCACGTTAAGTTAAATTCCTTTCTAAAAATAATTCTTCAGACCTTGTTTTGCTGCTGTTTTGAAATTTTATGGCTTCCTGTATTTTTGTTTGGGAAGCTGATCCCCTTCCCTCAGGGGTATCATAGTGTTGAAGTTGTTTCACTTTTCTTTTAATTCTGTGTGGAAAAAAATAACTTATGAGAGAGTCTTACTGTCCTGATGCTTAGAAAATGTTAGGAGTGTAAAAAGTTGTTGATGGCAAAATTATTCTTGCTACGTTCCAGGGAATGAGTTTGTCTTTTGACAGTTGGTAAATATGCCTGAAGAATAAAGGGAAGATGATGTGAGTCAGCTTTTGTGGCTGGGAAGAGAGCCTTTTCTTTTTTCCCCACTGTCAGTTTTAGAAGACTGTGCAGCTTTGCACTTGTTAATCTCAGAAAGTATTTCTTTGATACAACATTAAATGCATAAACATCCTAGCATTAAAGAAACAATCAACATCAAATATAATAAATGTGGAAGGAATGCTCTACTGCTTCACATGGTAAGGGATATGGAATTCTTAGCAGCAGTAGGTCATTTTATTTGATTGCTGGTATTCTGCTCCAATGTGATGCTTCAGTATATGATGCACTCTAAAGTAAAATAAATCTGCCTGTAAACATCCACTAAAATACTTAGCAAGTACTTTGAAGAAAAACCTTCCAGAAATATGCTAAATGCAACATTTATTGCTTGGAACAATCTCCTTGATTGCGAATTTAAATAGCATTCAGTATTAAAAGCCCACTGTCATGAAACATGTTCCAGATTTGAGTCCCAGTCTCCATAATGTCAAAATCCCTTCTGATGTCTTTTAATGCTTTATTTCACTCTATATGTCTCTATCTAAATAAAAGGAATTCATAACCAACTGAATGTAAGAGTTACCTGACTTAGCAAAGACTCCTGTTGTTCCCTGGCCCTTAAGGACTTCCATGCGTTCTGCCAGTGTGAAATATGCTGCATGTTATTTAAGCATTTCTCTAGTAAGGCAAGAAAAGACTGTATAAAATCTGTTTTGCAGTGCATTGTAATGAATAGTCTCTGCATCATAATTCTTTAGTATCTGTTTATTTACTGTAATGTAGGCAACCATGTGAGTAGCAAGGAGTACTTTTAAATCTGTCAATATAAAAAAAAAGTTCCAAAGTACTGATTATGCTGGCAAAAAGTGCATGAACATCACATAAATTTTTGGTTCATTGGAAACAGAAAAGGAAAGTCTCAAAATTGTCAACTTATGAATAGATAATGTAGGATAGATTTGAATTGATAACATACATATTTTTTAACTAGTTAATACTTTTTACGTAAAAAGTTGTAAATATTTTACTAAACTTTTTGTATTTCACTGAGAAGATGTTGAATGAGATAAATCTAAAGTGGACAGTTCCAAGAGGGGAGTATGTGCAGTAAAGTTGCAAAACATTGTAATAGGCAAAATCATATTCTGATATGTCATCTCAAACTATTAAGCAGTCACAGATAATTACAGATGCATGAATTCAGCACAGCCATAGCGTGCTTTGATGGAAATAATCTGATTTTATTGCAACTTACATTAATATTAGTGTGTTCAGGGTCTGGGGGTTTTGGGGGAGGAATGAATAGTATGTTATACATAGAGATGCAGAAGCAAAGCAGAATAAGCTGCCAAAAACCCTCTTGGGATGTAATATGTTGACTTCTCTGTTTTTTCTGCCTGATTACTTGCTCAGTGAAGACAGCTTAATGCTAGTGTTCTTAACACTTAATGTTTGTGTTTGATCTTGCAGAGCCTTTTGATGGGACAAACACAGCTAGAGCTGTACATGAAAAACAGAAGTTTGACATTATCAAAGATGAATTTATGAAGGTAAAAATTGCGTCCACTTTAATTTTTCCAGGCACTTTGGTCTTCAAGATATTTGTGTGAATGGTGGTCAGTGAACCTGCCTGTTTCTGATGGTATGATTGCTTTTATAATTTGTTTTTTTGTACATATGCATATATGTGTGTGTGTGTGTGTATTTATATGTGTATATATATACAAGAATTTATTCTGAAAAATTTTGAGGATAACTATATAGCAAAAGTATTTATTAATGTCTGTATGCCATTAAGAATCTGGCTGAAATGGTCGTTAAAATAGTAAACCTTTTGTCTCAGAATTATCGATTTTACACCTGAAAATATTTTAATAACTGTCGATAGCTTTAGAATCACAACTTTATCTGCGTTCATTATTTCAAAACTGTATATGTGTGTCTGTCTCCTAATTTGTTGGAAGCATTCCATTTCCCAACAAAAAGAAGGAAATGAATGCCAGATATTTGCAACAAAACAAATGTCTTTATATAGTTGGAAAAGAGTAACTTTTTGCTTTGCAGTTCTGTTCAGAAAAGTTACCTGGTAATTTGGGTTCACAGTCTGTGAAATCAGAGTGAACTCTCTTTTCAGAGTTCTCAATTAAAAAATTGGTTTTAAAGCTGTGTGGCTTTTGGAGGGGGGAGGGGAGGAAGGGGGGAAGTCCTAGCAGTTTTTTAGTTCAAAATATCTGGAAGCCTAATGCTAGCGTATTATGGTCATGAAAACATTTCCTCCTTATTAGGAACCATAAGGAATGACAGTTGCTTAAAACAAGTACTTATGAATGTCTTACACTTTTTTTTTTTTTTTTTTTGGTAAAGGAATCTGTTTGTCTCGTTGCCATTGAGAGCTGATTCTTCCCGTGAGGGGATTTCATTACACATTGTGGTTAAAAGGAATTCTGCATAAAGATGGGAGGTTCAGTGCAATTATTTGCAGGTTCATGGCCTGATATGACAGAGTTGTTCTGGAATCCAGGACAGAATACAGAAATTGGGAATAACCTATTTTAAAGACACACTTATAGGCTCTGGAAATGTCAGAGGATAACTTCTTATTAGGTGCTTTCATATGTGTACATTTGAGACAATTATTTTTCAGGTAGAATATCAATGTAATGCTTAAAGAATATTAACATCTCAGTCTCTGCATATCCTCTGTCCCTTGAAAGGACATGCATTTCTCAATGGTTCATTGCATTTTGTATATCTTTGGATTCTCCCTCCTTAAGAAAGAAATCCCTTTCCAAGAGAGAAAAAGGATCAACCTTTTTTTTGTTTGTTTTTGTGGATCTGTGGGGCTTACTGCTTACAATGGTATTTAAGTATTAATGGCAAAGAAAATTTAGCCTTTTAAAACCTTGTACTTTTTTTTTCCCAGTCTTGGCAGATATTACGAGACAAGAAAGACTTGAACTGTGTATTACCTTTAAGAACAACCATACAGAAAAGATAACCAACTTCTTTCCTCTTTCTCCTTGAACAGTATCAAAATGAAGATGCAGTTACCCCCTGGTTTTTTATGACGTGTTTTTTCTCTTTAAACTTTTGTTAAGGAAATGTTTATAAGAAAGATTGCATATTTTATTATTGACATTTGTTAATACAGCTGTTCATTGAAAGATACGTTTTCTGAAAATGCTTGCATTGTTGACTTCTAGAAGAGACTGTTGTGACTCAAAAAGCAGCCCACAGGAATAAATCCATTTTAAGGAAAGTATTGGAATATATTGACTTGTTGTTTCCATAATCTGTGTAATCATTAATTCAGACACATTTAACCATGAAATAAAGGAATTCAGAGCTAAACAATGTATGAGTCTGACTATCCTTAAGGCATTGCACACAATACACACTTCCTGATGAACAGATAGCCTGTGCTTTACATCTGCTTAACGCAGTATGCACTTTTGCTCAACTTGGCACCTTCCAATTTTATTTTCCTTTTACATGGAACAACAAGCAACAGTTTATGAAAATTAAACTAGATTATATTTGGTAGTGTTCTGGATACCAGAAACCATGTAATCTAAACTGGAGTTTTCAAGCAGCAGATCTACTACAAAGAAGTTGAAATAAAAAAATGACAAATCAGTATATGTAAATACTTCATATTCACACAGAATTGTGCAGATACCTTTTAGTGCTTCCTTTTACATATTCGAAGTAGTAGTGATGTCTGCAAACAAACAACCCTTCCCCCCACTACAGTAAGCTGGGCTTTTGTTTTAATTTTGTGTAAATATTTGTAAATTGGTGAGCTACTGTAAATTAAATTTAAATAAGTAATCTTGAAAATTTTAGCTTTTCCAAAAAAAGTTGTGAAACTTCTTTTAGACCTGCTGTAGCACAGTTTGTGCCTCTCATGTATTTGTTATTGAAGACCAATTCATTGTTAAAACTGTACTTATCATTGATGTCAAATTCATATTTTCATTTTTTTAAGTATAATATTTTGTATGGTGTCCAGTGGAATAAAGTTTATATGGAAAATACAGCTTTTTTTCTAGTTTGATGTTATTTTGTATTGGATATTTTAAATATTTCTTATTTCCTATAACTATGTAGAAAAGGAAATGTTGTGTATAGATCAAGGTCCTTTTTAAAAATCATAAACTTCTATATCGCTGTTTTGCACTGCATCTCTGTCTAGGTAAAAATTTCATCCTCTGCTGCTTCTAGTGAGACTCTGAAAGCACTTATAGCAATGTAAAATAACAACAAGCAATGTTGTTTCTTGTGCACAGTTTACTTTTTAATTTATTTCAAATTTTTGAATTTAGAAGTTCTAGAAACTGTAAACTATTTGCCTACTGTGAGGTTGCTTAGTGCGCACACTTGATCGTGGTCTAGTCTAATATTTTGGCTTGCTTTTTAAAATAGCTTCCTTCTACAGTTTAACAGTCTTTTCAGTTTTATCAGAGTCTGGTAATCCACAAAAACGTTCTCATTCCATATATATGTTCCCTCTCACTACCCGTCCCCTTCCTAAGGTGGTAGACTTGGTCTCAATGAAACAGTCACTTTATAAATGACCTGTTTTGAGTAAAACGCAGCCAAAGTTTTTAGTACAGTCGTGTCTGGATTCTAAGATGCTCTGGAAGCCCTAGATGGATTTTTATAATATGACCTTCTTTTAAAAGGTGGTGACACTTTGTCTACAAAACTTTCTCTAAATAAGATAAATAGGAAGGGGGGACAGATGTGTTCAAAATTGGGAAAAACTGCATTTTTGAGTGAGCTGGATATGAAGTATGAAACTGTATATGTATGTCTATCTCATAAGACTTTGCATCTGAGAACTTTGCAGCAGAAAGAAAAATAAACATCACCTAAAGGAGTTAACATATCCCACAGTTTAATTTATTGTGCTATGTTTGAAGTTGCTTCTTTGCATCTCTTAAAATAGACAAAAAATTTCTCTCATATCTTCCTGCAGCCTGATAACAATTGGCCTATAGACCCACCAACTGGTTCACCTGGCAAAAGCACGGTGCGGCAGTACTTTCATATGAGGAAGAGCAGTCTGAGTGATTCCAAAAGCAAGTTTTACCAAATCTGATATTGTAGTATTCTGCCCTCAAGCCAAACAAAAGCAGCAGCGCTTTCTGTGGCGATGCCAGACAACTGGAACGACAATCAGTGAATGTAATGAGGCTTGTTATGTGGTGGGCTGTAACTTTTGACAGAAAATATCAGATAGAATATCAGAAGATAAACTGGTTTGGGATGTGGGTGGAGGTTCTACATAGGCTGAAGGTGTTGAGAGAAGATTTAATGACCTAGATTTTTACCTATTCTGGGCAGATATCCAGAGTGAGAAATCCATTAATGGCTATCATAAATCCTAGTGTTAATGCAAAGTTTTCCCTTTCTCCTCAACTTCAAAATAAAAACCTTGGTGTACTCCTGTACTCCCTATAGGGACTTAAGAATAGTTTTCTGGGAGACCTTCTGTAAAAGGTCTGCTTTTCATGGCTGACCATGACAGACGCTGTCTGTGCAAGATGACAGCATTTCTGAGGCTTCTCACTGCTTTAGTTCAGCTCTGTTATTTTAGGAGCAGCTTGGACTAGTAATTTTGGTATTGGTCTTACTTTTATCACTTTTATGATGTCAGAATGATATTTGTCACTTTATATGATGTCAGAAATTGCTAATGTCTCATACAGGATTTTAGGAACTCTCTTTAGTCTTCTAGTAGTGCTTTTAATAGAGGCTCAGATTTGTATGGGAGAGCCAAATGACTTTGGGAGCAAGAGCTTCCCATTTGATAACAGTAGTACCAAAATTGTCATAGGCTGTGTACTGTGAAACCTAAAGTTCATATTACTGATTTCTTACTCTTAGTTCTCCTTAAATGTGCTTTAAACCAACTTGGGGGAAAAAATAGCATCAAATAAAGCATATATAATGTAATCTGTTTATCTTAAGGTGTTTTCATGTTATGAGAGGCTGTTTTTAAGAAATCCTTTACAAATAATTCAATGTATAATGGTTTTGTGAATCAAACTGAAGGGTGACATGGTGATTTAGGAGAAATAGAGGGAAACGTTTATCCAGCAGCCGTAGTAAATGGATGCAAGAGGAATTGTAGTTAACCTAAAATAGCCATTGCGAAGAGCATCCTGAATGTCTGTTTGGAAGCAATGCTTCGCTTGAGCTTAGATTTTTGGACCCAATTCATGCTATATTTGGGGTTAAATGTAAGTCTATCAAAGAATGTCAGTCTTGATCCAATGGGCTCTTCTTCTTGCTTTGGGGACCTCATGTATGTTTTGTAGTGTTTTTTTTTTTTTCACTAGGAATTCTTTTGCTCTGTTAATTCCTGTATGTATTGATGTGCATCTCTCATTCTTATATTTATTATGCAAAGACTATGATGCTTGTAAGAGGAGCATGAAAGAGTATGCTATTTTGGTCTACTTACGGATAAAATTAAGTTGTGAGAAATACGGAAGGGGGAACACTAGCTCTGAAAATAATTTGAATGGGTCCTGGTAAAAGGATTGTCACCTTCCTCTTGCTGTGTTGAAGATTGAATCAAAACTTGTGTAATGTACATATTCTTCCTCTATAAGCATTTCTGCAAGACTGCAATACTGTTGTCTTCCATATATAAGGAATGCCTTAAAAGCAAAATATTCATTGTGCTGTGTTCTCTGTCACTGTGCTCATAATAAAATCTGGAGTTTAATTTTAGTATCCATTTCTAGGACACTTGTTTAAGAAATCATGTTTTGGTGTAGAGTATGCCTTGTAAATTGTGTACCATAGGCCTCTGTGGGTCAGTTAGCAGAATTTTTTTTTTTCCTGTACATGCTGTTTAGGAAATATTTTACAATTTGTCAGTAGACTTTGAATTTTGCATCGCAGGGAAAGCTTGTACTTGGAAATACCTGCTTGTGTATTTCTGTTCTTACAACCCTAGGATGAGTTTGCTGATTGATTTACAACCAGCCATTTATTTGAGGAATCAAAAAAGGAAAAATGGGAATAGATTTATGCTGGGTATATACAGTATCTGATACCTGACCAAGTTTGGAAGTTCTTTATTTATAATCTGAGTCTGTGTCTCTCTCCGTTATTTAAAAAAAAAAAAAAAAAAAGATTTCTTTGGAAATGTTTCTGTTTCATCTGTGAAAAGCACTGCATTTTGTATGAAAACGGAGAATAATAAAGGACAAACTTAAACTCTAAATATTGATATTGTTTGTCTTTGCTTCCAGTTAATATTGGTTCCAGTCTGTTGGAAGAAGGAGGAGAGGAAGTTTGAAAAGCCCTGTGAATTAATGCCTCAGCAAATTTAGGGGTTCAAATACATTCCCTGCATGTTGTTAAAAATTACAGTGCATCTGATACCTCTTACAGCACTGTATTAATTATTAAATATGTGTGTGCTAGGCTCATCTGCTAGTATCTGACCTTTCTAAACCGCCTAGCCTGGAAGCCTTCTGAATCCCTAGGTGGGCTCAGAGCTGCAACATGCTTTTGAACATATTAAATCCACCTTTTTGTTGGGGCACCGGAAAAATGTGTGCGTTGCAGCCTGTGCTCCTCAGACCTGGTGGGGGCAGGTCTGTCGGGGTCCCAGCTCCTTCCTTGCTGCAGGTGCCTCCGTGGGGGGCTGCTCGATGGCAGCAGCAGCGATGGTGAGCGGAGCAGGTGGCCCCGAAGAGCTTCTGGAGCGCCGGTTTTGTGCCACCGTGGGCTCTGCCACGTGCACTGGCACCCGGTTGGTGCTAGGACCCAGGGTCGTCGCAGCAGCGACTCAGTGCTGTAACTTTGCTGCCTGCTATTTAAAGCCTGCCCTGAGTCAGGAGAAGCGAGCACTGCTGGGCATGACAGTTGCTTCAGGCAACCCTGGGGAGGACAGGGTCGGGGGTAAAAATCACCGGCGAGGGCCTGAGCTACAAACGGCATGGAGGGTTACCGCGGCGCGGAGTGCGACAGGGCGTCCGAGACCTCGTCCGTCCTAGAGGATGAAGAGGAGGAGGAGGAGGAAGAAGAGGAGGAGGAGGAAGAGGAGGAAGAGGAGGCTGTAGATCCTGAGGAAGCAGAGGAGCTGACTAACAGGTACAGCCTCCCTGGAGAGGCGTGCAGCCTTGGACGGAGCCGACAGCTTGGGTGCAGAGCACAGCCCTGGGCAAACGCTCGCGTTTGGGCCTAGTTTGGGCTTTTTGCCTTTCCCCCCCCTCCCTTTCCTTTCCCCTTTTCCTCTTTTTGACCGCAGCCACTAAAACATGTGGGTGGTGATAATGGGGGGTGTTTGTGATGAATGCAGCTGTAATTAGGTTTTATGCAATAAGTGCCTACTCTTAGCTCACTGAAAGCTTTTCTATTTAAAGTGCCTTCGGCATGCCAGCTCCAGTGGCATTGCCCTCTGCTCCTCCCTTTCTGGCTGCTTCTTTGTCACATATTGATCTTAAATACTCTGGAGAGCTGCCCATCAGTGAGAAAATGGTCAAATATTGTAACGGTGCATTTTAATTTGTTCCTTCTACTGTCCTTTCTTTTCCTTCCCGCTTGTCCCTCCCTCTTCGGTCTCTCCTTTCCCAAAAAAGGAAAAATTGGTTCTAAGCACTCTCCGCCAAGGATCCAGATTTGTGTGGCTGATTTTGGGGCTGGAATGAGGAATATGACATTGTTTTGAATTATTAACAAGCCTTGCGCAGAAACTGTGTGTTGTCCTCATGTTGCATCCCTGCCATAAGGAGAAGGCGGAGAGAGAAAGTGGCTCGGCTCGGCTCGGCGCGTGTAGGATGTGGCTCTGCTGCGCGCGGAGCTGCCTGCAATTCGATCCCCGCGGGCAGGCTCCCTTGGCCACGCCAACCGGGCCGGCGCCAAGAGGAGACGGTGCGGCCTGAGAGTCCACCGAGGTGTATCACGTTGCAGGATTTCGTCCGTATCTTGAGCAAAGCCTATCAGTTTTAAATGCGTACTGTAGAAAGAGCTGAAAACAGTAATGTTAATTTTTCATTTATGTATTTATTTTTAAGACCTTTGGGTCATACCGTTCCTAAAAGCTGAGTGCTATGGAGCTGTCCTTGATTTACAACCCCTCTGAAGGTATCACACCGCGAAGCTGTTTCTAGCTTTACTGATCTTTGTTAGAAGAGAGTTAGAGGGTAGAGAAGCGGTGGTGGGACTCTGCATATCCTAAACCATCCTGAGAGCTGTGGGAAGAAATTCACCCGGGAAGCGTAGGCCAGGACGCTAGGAAGACGCCCTGGCAGCGAGAAGGAAGAGCTGGTTTTCCAGAGAAATGGGCAGACACCCCCAGAAGCAAAAGCTGACTTTCTTCTGAGGGATGTTTTGCTTTTCAGCTGTAACCTGGCAGAGAGAATGGATCACTTAACTTAAAAAGGTTAATTGCACGTGTGTGTAACGATACCCACCCAGGAAAACCAGCTGAAGCCCGTGGAAAGGAGGCACTCACTGCAGACAGTTAAAACGCGGTCAGTCAGCTGGCTATCTTTAATGCTGTCTGCAATTAAATATACTGCAGATACTACAATTCAGATTTAAAGCACCGGCAGGAACATTTAACGTCTCCCTTAAAGGGTGTGCTTACCGTCGCAGTTAGTCCCCCGCCGGTTTTGGGAGGACGGCTTTTCCGGGGGGCTGGCCCGCAGCCCCGCGGCCGGGGAGCCTCGGCAGCCCCTGCGCCCCGCGCTTCGACTCGGTCGCGGCGATCATCCCCTTTAGCTCTCGGTAACACTAAGAATTGCGCGGTTCGTTCTCTACCCTCACGCGGTTTGATAACGCGATAGGTCAGAGTTTACCAGAGAGGCTTTTAAACAGCTGTGCTCCGTGGTGCCTGAGTATATTTAACTATGCTATACTATCGGGCTTTGATTAGTTTGATTAGTCTAACGGAGATGTAGAATTGCGAGTTTTGGCACAGATATGCTAGCAGTACTGAGAGCTCAGAAACAGCGTATTAAAGTTAAGGAAAACGGATTCTTTAAGGCTTAAATTTTGTGGATGCAAATGTCGGTACACGGCTACTGAAGCTTCAGGTCTTCTCCGCTACTGAAGCTTCAGGTCTTCTCCGATGCTCGCTGTCCATGCAAACCTCTGAGGAAGCGTTGGCTAAGTAAGGATAGCAGGGCCATGCCCAGATGATGCACTTGTTCACTCTGTAACTTAGTTGATAAACGTGTTTTAAAGCTCCTATTGCAGAAGAGATTTTCTTTAGTGGTTTGAAAATTTATCTTAGAGGAGATGTGACCAATACGTAAACTTGCCTAAAGACAGTCTGTGCTGGACCCTGATGTCATTGGTTTATTTTTAAGATCTCCGAGCTGCCCACCGCTTTGCTGTTTCTGTTCTCCACCCAGCTGAACAGCAGCTGGCTCTGCAAAGCTGCCCTCAGCAG